GGGAGATTGAAAGCACAAGTGCTCCCTGGATGATTTTGGTAATTAATGTCAACATATCTCTTGTTGGACTAATGCTTTTACCTAGTATGTTTCAGATAAGTTCAACAATGGAGTTGCATGGACTAGAGGATGTGGAACCCCTTCAAGATGTTGAGGACAAAGGATTGGCTCAAGCTCAAAGCACAAGACTCTACATTATACTTTTAGTGATCCAAGATCACATTGAGTCCATAGGAAAGCCAATACTATTAAGAGGGTATGAGGTGTTGCTTAATGCCTTACTTGCTCAAAGTGCTTAGTGATATGCTCCAAAGCCCTCAACTACTTTCTCACATCCACATATGACCCAAACCAAAAGTCAACCTCGGCCCTACCGAATCTTTCTATCCGACGCCACCGAGTTCAGATGTCATAGCCACAACCACAAACCCTAGTCTCTTCGGTCTCACCGATAGGGATCTCGGTCTCACCAAGATGGGATTGTAATCTCTCTGTGTGTGCCATTACCAAAATCGGTCTAACCGAGTTTGTGTAATCGGTCCTACCGAGATTACGATGCAAACTCTTTGTTCCCCTTCATAACGTTTCGGTCTAACCAAGATGAGCGAATCGGTCCCACCGAGTTTGCCTGACCAACCCTCTGTGTGTCTATTATCAAAATCGGTCTCACCGAGTTTGTGTAATCGGTCTCACCGAGATTACGTTATGCCCTAACCCTAACCATATCGGTCCCACCGAGATGACATGTCGGTCCCACCGAAAATCCTAACGGTCACATTATTTCCTAAATCGGTCTGACCGAGTTTCACGATTCGGTCCCACCGACTTTGGTAAGTTGTGTGTAACGGTTAGATTTTGTGTGGAGGCTATATATACCCCCTCCACCCACTCTTCATTCATGGAGAGAGCCATCAGAACGTGCCTACACTTCCAGCATTCATTTTCTGAGAGAGAACCACCTACACTTGTGTTGAGGTCAAGATCTTCCATTCCTACCACATAAATCTTGATCTCTAGCCTTCCCCAAGTTGCTTTCCACTCAAATCTTCTTTCCATCAAAACCAAATCCTGTGAGAGAAAGTTGAGTGTTGGGGAGACTATCATTTGAAGCACAAGAGCAAGGAGTTCATTATCAACACACCATTTGTTACTTCTTGGAGAGTGGTGTCTCCTAGATTGGCTAGGTGTCACTTGGGAGCCTCCATCAAGATTGTGGAGTTGAACCAAGGAGTTTGTAAACGCAAGGAGATCGCCTACTTCGTGAAGATCTACCCTAGTGAGGCAAGTCCTTCGTGGGCGACGGCCATGGTGGGATCAACAAGGTTGCTTCTTCGTGGACCCTTCGTGGGTGAAGCCCTCCGTGGACTCACGCAACCGTTACCCTTCGTGGGTTGAAGTCTCCATCAATGTGGATGTATGATAGCACCATCTATCGGAACCACGGCTCAAAAATCTCCGTGTCTCCAAATTGCGTTTGCACACTCCAATCCCATCCCTTTACATTCTTGCAATTTGCATGCTTTACTTTCCGCTGCTCATATACTCTTTGCATGCTCGCTTGATATGTATTGTGATTGTTTAACTTGTGCCAAAACTCCACTTCAACTTAAAGAAATTAAAAACTGCAACTTTTCTTGCTTAGTGTCTATTCACCCCCCTCTAGACACCTCTTCTCGATCCTTTCACCAGCAAGACTTACATCAGAACTATCTACACATGCATCAGTATCAACAAAGGGGGTAGTGGAGTTTAACTGCAGCAAGCCAGCTTTGACTCAGTGGCTAACCTGAACTACGACTGCAAGCAACTTTTTTGAGGTGGCGCACACGAGTCCACATATTCACCATATCGATACACCACTATGGATCCTCTCCCGTCTCCCTATGAGAACGCCATCCATAGCACTCATGCTTATCTTGTGCATTTTAGAGTATCCACTTTCACTTGCCTATGAACTGTATAGGCAAACTAGAGGTCCTTTACCGTGGACGCGGCTATTCGAATAGATGATAGTAACCCTGCAGGGGTGTACTTCTTAACACACGCTCTCGCCACTTACCGCCATGTACACGTCATGTATCTCGGCAACCTTCAAGCGGAATCCTGACGAGGGTGTCGGCCACGACCTGACTAACCACACAAGTCTTTAGTCCGGATTTATCGCCTATTCAGGTTCCATCCGCAGGGAGTCCGGCCGAGATTTCCACATACGGTCCCGAACGATGTGAGCAGGGTTCCCGAGGCACCAAACGGCGTCCCGATACACCGTGCCACGTGCCTACCGCATCACAGCCCACCCCTCGGGTCAGCGCTACGCACAGCCTCTAGCATACTACAAACACCAGAAACTACTTGCAACTCCTGGATAGAGGACAGGGGGTTAATAAGTCGAGAGGGGCACTTAAGCATTCCAATGCGTGGTCGTAACTGTTTATGGATCAGAAACACAGAACTCAATTCCTGAGGACGGTTTCAATGAGACAACCTACCATGTACTCCTACATGGCCTCTCACCGCTACCTTTACAAAATCGTGTTGACACACTTAGCTCTCAACAGTAGGACATGTTCACAACTTTCCAATTCATCCCCGATGAATCAGACCTGACTCAACTCTAAGCAGTAGCAGGCATAACAACAAGCATGAATGAGTAGGCACATCATGGCTCAATCAACTCCTACTCATGCTAGTAGGTTTCATCTATTTACTGTGGCAATGACAGGTCATGCAGAGGAAAAGGGGGTTCATCTACCGCAACATGTAACATGTGAATCGTTGTTGTCCTAATGCAGTAAAGAGAGTAGGAGCGAGAGAGTGGGATTGTATCGGAATGAACAAGGGGGTTTTGCCTGCCTGGCACTTCTGAAGATAGCATATCACTTCATCGGTGTCATCGAAACACATCGTCGGGACGTAGTAGAGGGGACAAATACCGGCAAACAAGGAAGAACACAATCAATGCAATGCTCAATATGATGCATGATCATGACATGGCAATATGTTGTGATTTGAGCTAATGCAACTAGCAACAGGTTAAATGGAGTTGGTTTGAACCCTAGGTTCAAATTCAAACTCCATATGTGAGGGTTTAAATGTCATTCATATGATTTGTCCTAAACAGTGGTCATAAGTTGTTCTAAAATGCATGAAAGTGGTACAGATGGATAGATTGGATTTTTCTGATCATTTTTCATATATAAATTATTTCATTTGGAGTTACGGTTGAATTTATATGAATTTTTGAAGTTTTAAACATTTTTTGGAATTTCCTGATTTATTTTAAAACCAGAAAAGATTAATTGCGTCAGCACTGCATCATGCTTGCGTCAGCAAGTCAACAGCGCTGACTGGAGTCAAACCTGACGCGTGGGACCGACATGTCATTGGCTCACTGTTAACTGGGAGTTAATCCTGTGTTGACTGGGGTTTGACCCGTTGCGGGGCCCACCCGTCAGTGATTGTTAGGGAGGGATTAGTGGTGATTAGCTCCTAACCAAGCGACCACGCCAGCCCGCCGGAGTTTGGTCGGCGGCGACCTCAAACCGCGGCGGAAACTCGCCGAAAAACTGCTACGGGGCTCGGTTTTGCGTGTGGTTTGCGTCTACGAGTAGCTGAAGGTGCGCCGCATCCAACTGGGCGAGCGGCAGTGGCCGGGGTGGCCTGCACTCGTCGGAGACGAGCTCGTGGCGGCGGCCGGAGTTCAGCAAGCTCGGGTTCGGCGTTATTGTGCACGGGAGGTTTAGCGGATGGGTGCGCTCGGCTCCTGGGAGCATGTTGAGTGCGTTGATAGGCTCGGACGCGAGTGGCAGTGGCTAGAACGACGGCGGCGGCGTGCGCGGCGGAGCCGAGCTCACGGCCATGGCGAAGATGCATCCTGGAGCTCGCGAACGCGAGGGGGAAGAGAGGGTTACGAACAGGAGCTCACAGCGATCACGTAGAGGTGGTCAGCGAGCTAGGGGAGGCGGCGAGGGGAGCGTGGGGTCGCCGGCGATCTCAGGTGCCGTAGGTTGAAGAAGGGGTCGATGGCGTCCTTGCGGGGCTCCCGGCGTCGAGCGGCTTGCTGTAGACAACATAGTTCAGAAAGCGTTAGGCGTTAATTGTGCGTTTTGCCACCGCCTTACGCTTTACTGACCAAAGTGCATGCTTATGCGCAGTTATGCACAGATTAAGCGCGGTTATGCGCAATGCGTTTTGCCAACGCCTAGAGCCTAGGCGCGCTTAAGCGCTCGCTTAGGCGTGCCTTTTTTAACTATGGTAGACAATGAAGAAGGCGACGGAGAAGCTCCTAGACATGAAGAGAGTGCGATGGGAAGGCGATGGCTGTGGACGGCGGCGACGGGCACGTTCGGTCCGGGTGAGAGAGAGGGAGCAAAGGAGAGGAGGGCCAGGGGGAGAGTGAGAAGGGTCGGGGGTGCGTGTCGACGTCTAGGGCGTCCAGGGGGAGAAGGGGGCAGCCACGCAGGGAGGAGGTGGCGCTGCGCGTGCGTGCCGCGGGCACACGCCCCTGTCCTACTGTCCCGAGGAGGAAGACGACAGGGAGGGCGCTGGTGGGCTGGGCCGGCCGGCTACAGTGCTGGGCCGAGCTAAGTGGGCTACAGGTAAGCTTTGGCGGGCTTCCCGCTCACGCCCGCCAAGTTGTATTGGGACGAAGTTGGCAGAGGTGGGACACCCACGAGCAGTCTCACCTGCCCTGCACAGCAAATCACAAATCGTGATGAATTATTTCAGAAGAATATTCCAGCGTGTATATTCAAATACACCGCTATTCATCAGGAAAAAGGTCACAAAAGCAGCACAATCTCCCACATTCTAATAACACCACATCAACTTCTAGAATTCTGACCATATATGAGTTGGCTAAAAATATATTTTCCAACATTGTCTATGCTTGGTTAACAAACAAAATGTGTTATCTGATACTCCCTCTGTTCCTAAATATAGGTCTTTTTAGGGATTCCAATAAGAGACTACATACGAAGCAAAATGAGTGAATTTACACTCTAAACTACGTCTACATACATCCGTATGTAGTCCATAGTGAAATCTCTAGAAAGACTTATAAGTATTTAGGAACGGTACGATCCATGATTACAGATCATGCGCAAGAAATTGTCATCAAGATCAACTCTTCTTTCCGTACTGCCCAGATGGTTGCTTCATGTTAAGAAGATGATGAAGGCCAGCGATAACATGCTGCCTGCTAGTTGGAACTCCGGTTTTCGCTAGGGCTCTACCATTCTTGTCCAGGAGCACAAAACAAGGAACATGTCTGACATCATAATGCAGAAGCTGCAAATATACATATAATTGTTGCTGTTAAAAGGTGGAAGCATCAGACTTCAGAGTGGAAACATCATGGATATGAAAGCATGCTCAGATACTGCAGTATATGAATATGGACAACCCATAGTACTAATAGCATCTTCAGTAACCACATGGTGTATGTCGCAATGGTAAGCAACCTCAAAACAAACAATGTCAAGAAAAATAGCATCTTCGGTGAGCTTGGTAAGCTGAGCCTGTGAGCCATAAAGGAGACTAGTATAAAAAAATATTTTCAGGAATTGTTACAGACCACTAACATGCAATAAAACTTTTCTGGAATGGTGAGAATTTACCCAATCCCTTCATGTGGGGAGGGAAGTTAGTTCAACTCCCCAGAACATCACAAGAGATCAAGTATAATCCCTATCTACCCTAAACGAATTGGAACCCTGAGTGAGTTGGTGGATGGTTTTGGGTGTCTGCGAGACTGGAACAGTTTTAGTTCAATTTCAAAGAACTTAAGTCTAGCAACTGAGCAACCCTTTCTCCAAACGGGAAAGCAGAATGGGCCAATGTTTCTGCAGAAAACGACAGCAGTACTGCTGACACAACCAAAGTAGAGATCAACCATGTTTGAAATGATTAGCAGGTCAGGTATTCAAACAACCTTAACGCCCAAAATAACCAAATTTAGCATCAGTCAAGCCTCTGTTATAGTTATCCTGAACTGTCGTCTGCTTATCCTTCAACTAAGCCCACCATCTTCATTGCCCAAGTGTTACTTCCGACTTTCCAAGCACTAGGGGCTTGTTCCATGGTATTGACATGTGTTTGAAAACCTATGTGGACCTACTCACAAAGGTGCCACTATCACTGTTCTAAAAAAAGGATAGCAAATACTACCTAGCACCTTCAAATGCATGTCCTAGCCTTTTTTTTGGCACGTCAAATATCCGTAACAGAGGTCCTTAAAGCAAACTATAGCATATGCATCATTACCGCTTGATCGATGCTAAGTAGAAGAAGAATAGCCATGTCTGTGCAGAAAGAGGATGTTGCGGACAAAGGGCTACGGCGCTAGGCAAGGCAATAGGAGCATCGCGGCAGCAATACATTCGGCAACAATGGCCAGGACATCCGCCAGCAACAAGACAGTCAGGTTGTTCGGGAGTCCAAAACTAACACTAGCAGCAGAATGCAGCAAGAGCCTAGGGCCCATGAGGATTAAGAAGTTGAATCATATGAAAAGAACAACATATTAGAGATTGAGCCAGATGGTAGATGTAGGTTAACCAAGGGTCTGTATCCCAGTCGACATAATCAGTAATTGGGGTTCGGTCGTCACTATACACTATATAGGGGTGGGAACTGTGTGTCCTGGAGATTAAGAACCATGTCTAATCCTCATTTGAAGTGCTCTCTCATGTATAGTCTATTTCTCCTTAATCTAGCATGTCATTCCCCTCATCTTGCACTGTCCGAGCCATTCATCTGCATGGTATTTACTCACTCCATCATTAACCTTCAGATGATGAGAGGATAACACAGTTAAACGATTGGCTGTAACCTGACAGTCAGGAGGCATGTTCAAGTTGAGCAAATTGTTGCTTCTACCGAGGCTACATTTTAGCAGTAACAAGAGTCTTCACCAATACACACTAATGACTGCAAACTATGTCCACTGATGCTACTATTGCAGTACATAAATTAGTGTAAAGTGTAAACACCAAGACTCTTTGATCTCAAACAACGCAGCTGACTGTGGGTTGTAGAACAGGGATTGACATAACCACATCTAAGATAAGAAGCTCGTCCTCATTCATTTACCGTTTTATGAGTTAACACGTGGCTTTCAAGGAAGTGAAACCTAAAGCAGCAACTTTCAACACCCAATTCACATACTAACTGAAATGCAAGCACACCACAGGGTTTGAGTTAAATGAAAATAACTGCACTTAACTCTTCAATACCATCCCAGCATATGCTAACGAACAAAATTTATAAGCAACCAACCTTCTCCTGAAATATCAGTGTTTATAACCTCGGTCCTCTACAAATCACCACACATTGCACCAGCTCCGACAAAAATAATTAGAGCAACGAGGCTAACGAGACTAATCCATCGATTGATAGGAAAATTAACAGCATAATTCTAGAGAATATGGATAGCAACGCAATCGGCATGAACAGGAAGAGACGCCCTCACCTCCGGGAGCCACCGGTCGTCTTCGGCGTCGGCGAGCACAAAGCTCGCAGATGCATTGCCACCATCCTCGAGCTCGCGCACGAGGCCTTGCAGCGATGAGCAGAGGCGGCAGCGCGGCGAGTAGAACTCCAGCACCGTGGTCGCCCTCGCGCTCACCAGCGCCGCCGCCAGCGCCCGCTGCTCCGCGTCCCCGCGGTCCGCCTCCATCGGCGCGGTGCCCGGGTGACGCTTCCACAACCTCGCCCCATGACCTCCGCTTCCACTGGAAGCGGAGGGGATGTCACCGGCGATGGCGAGGCCTTGCGCGACGGTGGAGATAGACTTGAAGAGCCAGGGGCGCTCGAGGTCGCCGCAGGGGCTTGGGCTGGCGCTAGGGCTCCCATTAAGGCTAGGGCCCCAAGGCCACTTGAAGCAGACGAAGGGAGGGGGCTTTGCGGCGGTGCCCATCTCCTGTGGCCGGAGGCTGATCGCCGCCAGGGAGGAGCGGGGAGGTGTCGTTGAGCCGCTACGGACGAACTCAATTTGTGGGAATTTTACGTCTGCATATCAGATTATCAGGCGCTATGGAATGCGGTAGATTACAGCAACTCGAACAAATGAATGGCGGACCGGCTCCACCGGGCGCTTATCCTTGCACGTAATTTAAAGATGATAAAAAGAGTGTCTATAATAGATTTTTTTAGTCTTATCTTTAATAACCAATTATTACTAAAAACGTGATGAGACATATTGTGCTAAGAGATCATCTCTTGTCTTCTCTTACATAAAAGAAGACAAACATTTTCTTACGAGTTCTCTCTCCTTCAACTCATCATTTATCCTACATGGCACTCCTAGAATAACACCATTATATATGCCCTTAGCCTAAATTGAGGGTAGATATAGGACGGCTTGCTAACAGTCCGGCCCACCATTGACCCACGGCTTTCCCACAAAGATCCCAATCCAGCTCCTCGCTTGGATTGTCTCAAAATAAAATCCTCGCCTGGAACCCTAGTTCACTCAATCCCCTCTCTCTCGCTCCATCCTCTCCTCTTTCCTGTCTGATTCCGATCCAATCCAACGCAATGTCGAGCTCCGACAGCCACTCCGGCTCCGTCCTCAACTTCTGCATTGACTTGGAGTGGTCCAAGGTGGACATCGGGGTAGCTCCGGATCTCCAGCGTCGCCCGAGCTCCAGCGTCGGCGCTTCGCGAACGTCGGAGCTGACCCTCCCGTCTTGAGCGCAGCACCGCTTGGGCAGCGCAATCCGCTCCACCCCCGTGCCATCCCCTTCCCCGCCAACCGATGCTCCGCGTGGGCCAGCGAGGGGTGCTAGTGCCCGTGTCGCCGGCCTGCATGTGCACCCCGAACAGAGGCACACACCACTCGCCGCGAGAGGCAGCGGCAAGGGTGAGGGACGCAATGGAGCAGACTGCGCACCGTAGTCGCAGGTTGTCGGCGGAGCCCAACAAGGACGAGCGGCTCCTCGCTGGGTCTACCGTTCGTCGCTCATGACAGCGGAGACGCACGCTCGCCGCCTACGCCGGAAGAAGGCGAGGGCGCTCCGGCTTGCCATAGAGCATTCGGAGCGCGAGGAGAAGGAGGCAGCGGCGGAGGCAGGGCAACGACGACAATGACCATAGTTCCGCCTTCTCCTTCGACGACCAAGATCCTCCACAAACTGCGGACGCCTACAGCTACGCCGGCGACCGAATGGGAAAATGCCAGGCGAGGAAGTGGTGAAGATGCTCCTTCCACTACTGCAAGATGCTGCTAACGCAACACTACGATCAAAGACCTTTTGAGAAACTATGTGCGATGCAATAATCGCAAACGATGGTGTAAGAAAACCGTCTAAAATGTGCAAAACGTTTGCAGTGATGGATGCATCAAACACGGTTCAGATTTTAGTTGCATGTGCAATGAAGCACATACGGTTGATCCAGCAGAACTGTTTGCGATGAGGAAGAACAAGAGAAACAGGCAGCCATATCAATGTGTGTGCGATATACGACATACAATTCCTTCAATGAACTGTGTGCTATTAGGGAATTCAACAGAAATGGTCAGCCAGATCAAGTTGTGTGTGATATACGGCATACGATTCACTCAGACAAACTGTTTTCGATTAGGCAAGAAAACGGAAACGGTTCATCTTAATAAGATGTGTGTGATATGCGGCATTTGCGATCAGTCAAAAGAACACAAACGATTCGTGTAAACCAGATGTGTGTGATACGCAGCAAACAGCCCACTCGGATGAACTGTTTGGGATGAGAAATTATAGCACATATGGTTACTATAGTAAGTTCATGTGTGATTCTGTCTGTACAAAAAACTTTTAAAAAATGCAAACTAGTTGCTTGCGGTGGCTAGGAGTATCGCACATGATGCATCTGCGAGTACTCGTGTGTGATGATTAATAAGTTACACATAATGAACGGCTGCAAGGGTGATATGCTGATCATGGAGTCCAAGAAGACTGTTGTCGGAAAGCCGTCGGCTCACCTTTTTAGCCTCTATTTTATTATAATTGTATGCATAAGTAGGTCGTGAGTGTTTTGTGTCGTGCCGCATGTGGCATTTTAAATTATCCTGAATATGTAAGACAATTATTAACCGTTGTCATTGTAAATTTGCCTCAACGGCGAGCACAGCGCGCGCAGGGACTCCACGGGCCCGCAAAAAAAGAAAAAAAAAGCAGGGACGCCACGGCGAGCAACCACGTGGTCAACCTTCTGGCACCCTGTGGGAGACGCGACGGCGCATCCATAGGACACGATGGTGATATCATGACCGTGTGTGATAGTGGGCAGACACGTACACGTACATCCAAGAACAAGGGCTCGCATTTCGGGCTTCTGATGCGTGGCATACAGTTGATCCAAAAAAACTGTTTGCGATGAGACCGAACAACAAAAACGGGGCTTTGTGGGCCCAGAACCATCAATAAATTTTGACTTTGTTTCGCCTCACATTGCAAATTACAACGCAATAAGTAATTGCAAATCTGTTTACACAGATCAAACTAATATGTGCTCACACCGATCAAACTAATATGTGTTCACACTTAGCACCAGGCTATAAAACTATCCACTCGAAAATTACTTCACAGTTCCTCTCCTCATCACATACAAAATTGGTCTTTCCTGTCAAGTCGTTCCGCCATGACCGGTAGGAGGAGTTTCGGGTGGGCATATAACCAGGTAGTAAAGACCAAGGCTGCTGAAGCACTAGAGAGGTCCCGTCGCGATGCGGCAACCGCAGCAGAGATGTCCCGGCGCGCTGCGGAGCCCTCGAATGAGCTCTCATGGGCACGCGAGGGCTCTCACAAGCGCACTCGCCGCATCGGTGATCGCGACGAGCTGGCGTTGCTGATGTCATTGGCCGGCGACGACGACATTCTCGATAGCCTCATTAAGCAGCAGGAGCTGGTCGACGGCTTGACGAAGCCACTCGAGATTAGCGATGCCTCGGTTGACAAGGCGACCAGCCCCGTCGAGAAACTCATGGGTGACAATGCGAAGCTCCTCAAGGCGCTCACCGAGAAGGAGGAGGAGGCTGCCGGCTGGAAGATGCTGCATGAGCAAAGCAGTGCCTTGGGGATGACGCTGACAGCGGTCATCGAGGAACTGATGGGTGACTTGAGGAAGATCCGGATCGAGCGCAAGTAGGAGGTGGAGGAATCTGTGGCTGCTTTCAAGCAAAGCCGTGAGGAAATGAGGAAGGAGCTGGAGGATGTCATCGCCCGGCGATCCATTGAAGAGTAGACACAGTAGCGATCTAGATCGTTGTCTACGATTTCCTTCTTCTATTGCCCCCGTGTCTTCCGAGCTTTACCGCATGTGGCATTTAAAATTATCCGGAATATGTAAGACAATTATTATCTACACCATTATAAATTTGTTGTCATACTATCCGTTACCATTTTATTTATCGTCGTATTATCCGTTGCCCTATGTGGCAATTTAAATTAGATCAGAATACGAGTTGAAAACACGAACATAGCAAATGCTGCCATGGGATCACAACCAAACACCCTCCGTCCACCCCTAAAAAAACCTCCGTCCAGGCGCTTTAATTAACCCATTAATGGAAAAGTTTTGAGCGAGGCGGGTTGCGGCTGGTGCATGGAGGTCAAAGAGCTCACTTGCCGGTGAGCATGGGCGGCCTTGCTGCTCACACGTGTCCCGTCCAGCCTGGCAGGTGGACAGGATGCACATGTCCCGTCGAGCCTGCGTGGTGGACTGCTCGCACGCGTCCCGTCGAGCCTGCACGGCGGACTTCTCGCGCTCGTCCTGTCTAATCAAACAACTACATGCACGCCACTGAGTATGGTTAAATATTGACACGGTTCATATGATACAACCATTTGTGATATTAACGTGTGAGCTTATTATTTCAAAAAGGACTTCGTTGGCTACTAATGTCTGTGCCTCTTCTCAAACTGGACGATTTTTTTACCATGGCATATATGTGCCATCTCATGAAACCATGCCAAGTTTCATGTTTTTTGGGTGAGTTTTTGATTTACTAGAATTTAAAAACCAAGATTCTCAATGTTTCAGGACGATGACAAGTTTGTAATTCATTCTCATTCCTTAAATGAGACCTAAACATGCACCCAAAGACACATGTACGATTTCCCACCCATTTTGTGCTTGTAGTTCAAATTTGAATTACAGACTACATTTAATGCGTAGGAAACTTAATAAGTAATATATACAATGGCCAAACAAACCCTAAAAATGCACTCCAAGGAGACATGTACGTTTTTTCTAGACATTTTGGTGCATTGGAGCATGTATTTTTAGTTCAGATTTGAATTATGGACATTAAATGCCTAGAAAACCCAATTAATGAATAAAAAGGGTCAAATGAACCCTCAATAATTTCAAAGTTCAGCGCGAATCTCCCATTGTTCCGTACGTGTTGCATGTAGAAAAAAATACGAGGCTAGAAGAGGGAGCGATTATCGTTTGGCCCACAGGGGGACACATTTCTCTATCGAAACCACGAGGGTTCTTGCGACAGGCTCCAGTTTGTCAAAGGTTTGTAATAAAGCTTGGCCCAAGTTGGCAATGTTTTTACCACGGCATATATGTGCCATTACGTGACACCATGCGACTTTTAATGACTTTCTTTTGAGTTTTGGATTTATGGGAATTTAAAAATAGAGATTCCAAATGTTTGAGGACGAGCCAAGACGCCGGTCAGGTTGTAATTCGTTCCCATTCCTTGCATGGGACCTAAACATGCACCCAAGGAAACATGCATGTATAATTTTTCTAGCCATTTTGGTGAACTAGAGCATGTATTTGTACTTCAGATTTGATATTATGGACATTAAATGCCTAGGAAACTCAAATAGTGTATAAAAGGCCAAACAAACCCTGAATAAGTTTAAGATTTAGCATGGATATCATGTCGTTCCATGTTGCCTGTAGAAGAAAATACAATGCAAA